CAGAGAGGTGGAGCAGGGCAAAGTGAACACCACAGTAGTAGAACTTCCAGTCTACCAGTCGGCCACAACAATCAACCTCGAGAAAGATCAAAGAATACAAAACATTGTCCAGATGATTGATGAATTGCTCGTTCAAGATAAGGTTTTGAAAAAAGGAATCATAATGCAAGAGACTGCAGGGGGACAAGCAGAGATGTCAGTTTATTCACTCATTTGTGACACAAAAATCGAGGGTCACATTATAGAGAGGGGAGATGTAAAGTCGACGATTGGAAATCTGTTAGCCACCGCCAATAGTCAGAGGACTGCAGCGTCGTGTAGAGTGGATGAAATTGAAAAGGGAAACGTGAACTTGTACAAAAGTTGCATTGAGAAAGGAGGTCTGCACAACCTGAAGAGTCTTCATACTGAGTTGTCAGGAGATGAAGCTGATGACAGTCTTCTTGCTAAAGAACAGACTGAAATAGTTCACGGGGATGTGAAAGAAGCAAAGAGAAGCCTCTGCCAGCAGAAAGACCAGGTAGAGCGAACCATTTCCGACGTTTTGCCAGGAGATGTACGAAATACCAAAAAGGTTTTTTCGTCAGAGTGCTCGTTCAGCATTGACACCTGTGTTCCAAAGGAGGAAATAATCCCCGGGGACGTCTCATCAGCAAAGCAACAACTTGCAGTAAAGCAACCTGTCATGGTAGAAAAAGAGGAGATTGTGGCTGGGGACATCAAGGCAACATTGCAGTCATTAGAACGAGCAAAGCAGCAGAGCATGTGCGTGGAGCGGGAGATCATTCAACCTGGAACTATCTATGACATGGATTTGTCAGCCCAGTGTCCTGACATAGAAGGAAGCCCAGCACAAAAAGAGGTTATTATATCCGGAGATGTCAAAGCAGCTAAAAAGTCCCTTGAAATGGCTAAGCAGCAAAGCATGAACATGGAGCGTGAAGTCATTGTTCCTGGAAAAATATACAACCTTAATGTGTCAGCACAAGAGGGAAGCTCATCAGCAGCGATGCAATCCACGTGTTCGTCTTCCACCGGATGCCAGCAAATCAGGACTTGTCCAAAGGTCAGTGATGCCGTGAAAGATCAGGGAAGCCATGTTTCCTTTGAGGCTTGTCAACAAAGAGCAGTTATAGTCAGTAATTGTGCAGCAGGATCACTGCCACCTTTTGAAAATTATGAGTGTAATGGCCAGACAACAGAAGATGAGACAGAAGAAGTTATCAGAGGAGATGTGAAGGCAGCTATTAGGTCTCTGCAGAGCGCAGCAACAGAACAGAAGCTCCTAGATAAAGAAGATATTGTTAGAGGTAATGTTCAGTTGGCTCTGCAATCTCTTGAGAAATCTAGTGTAAATGTATCCAAAGGAGACTATAAAGCTGCAATGATATACAGAAACTCAGGTAGGGCTTGTTCAGGGAGGAGCGAGACTGTTCACAAGCAGTGTGTTGTGGTGTCTGTGCCTCCATCTGACACAAAATTGTCTCCTTCAATTTCAGTAACCTGTGAAGGACAACCACCCATTACAACACAGAATTCAACACCCAACCCTGTAGCAAATGGAAACTCAAAATCATCCTGCTCTGAGACTGTAAATCCACCTCCACTCCCTCAAAAGACTAGTGAGAAACCGCGGGAGCAGAAGCCGGCTTTACCTCCAAAGCCACAATGGACGAAATCAGTAGTTGTGGAGGGGCCGAATATTCCACTTCCTCCTGCTCCTGAAGTTGCTTGCCCCATCGAAGACAATGGAAAAAGTGTAGGGATTCCTCCAAAACAAAACAAACAGTTTCCTATGCCCTTCACAGATAACCTACAAGCAAACAAAACCAATAAAGAAACCTTACATGAAACATACTACCAAAAATGTGTTGATGAAACGGTGCAAGATTCAAGTCAGTCAAAAGAACATTTACAGATGAACTCAAAGACCCAGGAAATTAAGAAGAAACAGAAAACAACACCACTTAAAAAATCAGAGTGCCAAGTAACGAACAACACTGTGGAAATGGAGAGAAATGTAATACAGAAAATCAATGCAGCTGAGGAGATTCAGATGTGTATGAAGAATTACGCAGAAGATGGACAACAAGAAATGAGCATGAGCTTGCAGGCTGCTCTACAGAACTTTGAAAGAAAGGAAAGTGAGTCTCTGGACAGAAGAGTCCCTTTGTTATCCAAAAAGGTAAAAGTAATAAATGATAGTGACAATAAATATACCAACAAAACCACAATTCAACAACACAAATCAAATCCTGAACCTGTCAAAAAACAACACAGCGAGACTGAAGTGCAGATGTCGGACACCAACAGTCGGATCGATGCCCGTCATTTACAGCAGAATGACCTCAATGGACAGCATCAAAAGGTTGAGGATAGAGTTGTTCTTAGAGAGAAGAAAGTAAAAGAGACAGAAGACGAGCGGCGGCAGAGGCTTTCTGTCCACAAGGAGGAGATCATGAAAGGAAATGTGAAGGCAGCCATGGAAATTTTTGAAAATTTGAGAAAACGAGAGGAACTCAAAGGAATCCTGTGTCAGGTCCAAGAGATAGAGGGAGAAACCAGCAGTGTTGACGTCAGCTCCTTGAAGACATTATACCAGAATGTCCCTGCTTGGATGGTTACACCAAGCAGAAATGCTAAGCAAAGTAAAACACAGGAAAAGAAAGTTGAAGTAGAGACACAGGACGATGATTTAGAAAGTATCTCCTCAGTTGAGACTGCGTTTGAAGATCTGGAGAAGGCAAGTAAAGAAATAATGAATCTGAAGGAAGAGACTTTAGCAAAACTTCTTGACATTGAAGAGGCAATTAAAAAGGCTTTGTACTCCGTCTCCAATCTAAAATCCGAGGCTGACATTGCAGGCTTGTCAGGACTCTTTGATGAATCTCTTGAATCTGAGCGAAACCTTCAACCCGCCAACAACATCAGGAAAATAAGTATCGTGTCAAGCAAAGCCAAATCAGGCCAAACCAAAGAGACGACTGACGTGAATCTGCAAACAGTTTCAGATTCATGTCCTTCCAGACAAGAAGTTCCCAGACAAGTGCCCCATAAGCCTCTCGTCAGACAGTCCTCTTCCCAGTCCTCCCCGTCATTCATCTCCATTCACTCAGCTGCCAGAAAACCTGCCGAACAACCAAAGTCGCCCATGTCAACATTTAAGCCAAAAGCGGAGTGTAGTTCTCAAAGTTGCCATGATGCAAATAGTGACCTGGGACAGGAGTCTGCTGCAGAGTCCTCAAAAAATGTGTACAGTCCTGCGCAACGCAAAGTCAGCGTGCTCGAGGTGAAAACTGTTCCAGAGAAACCTGCAGGAATAATCGGCACAAAGACTGTCAGTGAAACATACGAAGAGACTGATGGCTTTGGCAACGTATTTGTTTCCTCCATGACTTCGACATTTGTCACCAAACAATCCGACGCTAAATCATCTGCTCTGTTCGAAGTAGTTGGGAGTCCAACCAGATATGAAGTCATGACATCTCCATTAATGCGAAGATCTGGTCGCCCTTTTGAAGATAACGCCAAGGAGGAAGGGACGGTGTTTGTAACATTTAGTCAACCAAAGGAAAAGCACTAAATAAGCCACTTATCAGACGGTGCATTTCCCAGTCCTTTAATTTTAGGAAAGCAATTATTCCATTTGTATATTTATCACATTATGTTTCAATGAAAAGGTTTTGTTAGTCATAAAGCTGATGATCTAAAATCATAAAAAAAAATGTTGACTTTTAATTGAAAAAAAATGTGTCTTATAGATTTTATACTGTAACCACATGATAAAGTGTTAACTTCTTTTATTAAAGCTTAGCATATAGTTGATATTGTATGTTCTGTTGTGTAAATGGTGAAATAAATGAAAGTTGAAACGATGAGATTTTAAAAAGTGATTTCTATCCTCTACACCGGTGCCTCATTATTATTCCTCTACTAAACGATTATCGTGGATCAACCACATCAATAACCAGTGATTTCACCTATAAGTGTGTTACAGGCAGGTGAGCTCACAGTCACAGAATTTACTAAATGTTCATCCTCTCTTAAACATATTTTCAAAGTGTTTCTAGCAATAAGAATAAGTGAGTGTGCTGACAGGAATAGTTTAGGAAATCAGGTGCAGTATTTCCATAAATACATCTAGTCCCTTTACATCAGAAGATCGACACCAACGTCTGTCCACTAAATATAAGCCAGCAGCCGATTGGCTCAGTTTAGTACAAGGACTCGAAACAGAGGGAAACAGGAAGCCTGGCTCAGGCCAAAGATAAAAAAGAGACTTCCTCTCTCCTTTGCAGCTGATCCAGATTCACCGCCGCTAACCTGGAATTTAACACTGCCGCATTTATTTAGAAGTCGAAACAAGTACCTGCATTTTCAGTGCCCGTGGTACAATATAAGAACATTAGTGATATACTGGACAATGTGATGCTGAAGGAAAATTGCAAAAACAATATTGCTAAAAGCTATATTGTAGAAATGTAACTGTCTCCTACTGTGTACCACAACTTGGAAAACAAAGGAAAATCATAACAAACTCTCCTCTAATGCAGAAAGACAGGTCAAGGAATAAAAATATGAGAGAAAGGTCTTGTAATGTCAATGTCTCGTCAACATAAAATCCTGTTCACCTTAAACTGAATTTGTTTTCATCATCATAGTTCCAGTCACCTGCCAAGGAAATGTGTTCAGCCTGTTTGACACCTGTCTATCCAATGGAAAAAATGGTGGCCAATAAACTTATCCTGCACAACAACTGTTTCTGTTGTAAACACTGTCAGAAGAAGCTCAGGTGAGGTTTCTTCACAATATGACGAAATAATTCAAATCATCGTATTTATCCACTGATTATACGCTGATTTAATGTTGTATTAGCATTCGTGAGTTACAACATTGTAGTGGAGGATTTTATAATAATAATACACTGAAATGAGTCACCAAAACTGATCTAGTACAAATAACAAATCAAATGACAAATTCAACAATATCTGATTTAAAATTTTAAAAGTTTAATATCACAAAAAGACTTTGTTTTGTTGTATTTCAGCATTCACAACTATGCATCTCTTTACGGCGAGTTCTACTGCATTTCTCACTACCAGCAGCTTTTTAAAAGAAAAGGAAATTATGATGAGGGATTTGGGCACACGCAACATAAAGATCGCTGGCTTCAGAGAAATAAAGGAACAGATGAGCCAGACGTCTTGTCCACTCCCAAAACTACAAAACCCAAGTTAAACACCTCCGATGGCCCGAGAGAGTTCTCTGCTGGTGTGTTTGTTACGAAGTCATCTGTGAGAGAGCTGGGATGTGACAAAGCTGCTGATGTCAAGGGCAAACTGAAAATGAGCTGGCCACCAGAGAAGAAGAACACAGGTGTTAATTCATTGCCGAGGACACATGCACCAGCTCTGAAAAACAAGACACCTGGTATTGATAAAGCAGCTACTAACGCCATGAGTGTCACAGAGTATTGGAAAAGTGACAGGAACAAATCAAAGATCAACCACGCAGGAGAAATGAAAGATAAAGAGGTCAAGGATCAATCAAAGACAACAGGATTTAACTCTGATGAGTTACGTTCAAAGGAACCAAAACCGTGGAGTGATTCAACCAAAGCTGGAGGCGTCCGAGACACCATCTCTCCGAGGGTGCTCAGCTTTACTTCGCCCTCGGCAGAAAAGGGTTTTATTGTCACAAACCAAAAAAAAGAGCAGAAGAATGTGGCTCCCACCTCGAGAGCAAACTATAATCCGACAGTTAACAGGCGGGATGTATTTCCAAATAAAGCTAAAAAGTTTGTGCGGTTTTCTCCCAACGTTGACGTGGCTCAGTATGACGAGTCCTCTCAGCTGATCTTGGAGGTCTCAGATCAGTCTGAACACAATCAACTGAATAAATCCAAGGATATGAAAGATGAGAAAAATCATCTGACATCTGAGCTGAGTGAAAAACAGAGTGAAAGTGAGGTGAACCTTGAAATCCCTGAACATGAATGCCATGGAGAAACAACCAGCACGTCGAACCAAGAGCCTGATGTTGAAGTGAAGAGAAGTCAAGAGAGTCCTCAAGCCGATATCGCAATTCTGAATGGAGTTGCAGAGAAGGTTGAGGAATCACATGATACTCAAAGTCTCACTGAAACTTTCAATTCAACTCAAGATGTTACAGCACATCAAAAGCCACCTGATCAGTCGGACGTCGCTCCAGAAAACTCGGTCGATCCATGTGAATCACAGGATCCAAGTGCCCTGCACAGTTCTGCTGGACAAATGACCAAAGAAGAGGACGGCCATGAGAGCAATAAAAATCTAATTGAAAAGACGGACTCAACCAATGATCAAGAAAATGGTGGTAACCAGAAGAAACCCGTTGTGAGGACAAATTCTCTGAAGGGTTCTGCTAAACCGGCTGAAAAGACAAAGGCCAAACTGGGCTCCTGGTCCAAAGGAAAGAGTCCTTTGTCGAAGCTCTTCACATCAGGCGGGAATGAGAGAACGAACAAGGCTGAACCGAAAGATGCCAAGAAACCAGAAGCCAAACCTAGCGGCGGACTGTTAGGAAGACTGTTTCAGTCATCTTCAGAGAAGCCCGAGGATGTCACGAAGTTGGCTGCACAAGGTGAAAGACAAGAAGAAGAAAAGGACAAAACACACAATGACAATAAGACAGAGGAGGTAAAGGAAGCTATTACCGAAGAAATTGAAAAGGAAGACGACGTGCCTCAAGTCCCACCTGTGGAACAAGAGCATGTGAAGACAAATTCTGCCGACGCCAACACACCGGACAGTAACGAATATGGGGATATAAGCAAATCTACAGAGCAATCCAACCTGCTCAAAGGTTCAGCTAGTGGGACAGGTGAGGTTCATACGGCTCCAAATCCTACTGATGAGGAAGAACCAGATCTCCAGAGCAGTGAGACTGAAGGCCTGTCTGTCTCTGATCCTGGAATAGCTGAGTCCGCTGTCCAATCAGTGAACCGATCATCTGAGGAGTCAGTCGGTCCGTTAACAGCTGAGAGAAGTGGTGATGAAGTTTTGAGTGATCCATTTAATGGTGATATTTTCGGCGACAGTGTCAGCTCTGTCCCGACTGACACACTGTCCAGTCAGATGAACACTGACGAATCTGTTCAAAGGCCGGACGAATCGTTTGATGCACCAGACGAAGGAGGAAGAAACGTTGTGGATGGAGCGCTTTTTGATCTGAACCATGAACCTCCTCAAGATTCCTCCAGTCTTCTTGCTCCGTCTGAATCTCAGGGGATTTTTGGAAACGCACCTGGTGATGTATTTTCATCTTCTGTGAGCGACATGCCTTTGTCTGCAGGTGCGTCTTCCGAAAGTTTTACCCTGCTCGACTCCCAGCCAATATCAGCTGAGAATGAAGTAACGCTCAGCATGACAGATCAGCTGATTGCCCCGGACCCAGCACCTCTAAACCAAGATACGAGTCAAACCTCAGATCTTTTTGGTGCAAACAGCCAAACAAGTGAGCAGGGCACTGGCTTTGACATATTCAGCCTGAATGATGATCTGTTCACTCAGCCTCCTGCTGTTAGTGTGTCTGGTCTGGGCGATCTGGGAAATCAGGGAGAAGCTGAAGCTGTCACAACCCAGGCGTCTCCCTTCGCCGATGATACCTTTGGAGTCAGTGACATCTCCAACAGTGCAGATGTGTTTGCACTGCTACCAGGCAGCCCTGCCGCTTCTAATTCACTGAATGATTTACTCAGTTCAGATGCGTCCTCTGCTGCTGCTGCTGCTGCTCCTTCAGCTCAGATAGATCTCTTTGCTGACGACATCTTTGCATCAGGACCAAAGTTGCTGCCACTGTCTGACGCCGGTGATGCTGATTCATTTATGGACAATCTTTTAGTGTCTGGAAGCAACAACACAGAGCAAGCAGCACAAAATACTGTCACGAACAGCAGCTGGATGGACGATCTGCTCGGGTGATAGCAGGGCTGTGATTTCATGACATAATACACAAGGTTTGAATGTACAAGAATGAAAGGAATCGTATTAACATGGTTAAAAAGAGGAATTTGTAAGTGCATGGGCATCATAAACCACTACCAGATAATTAGTTAATAAAAACAGCCACTATTGTTTTCATTTGCAATTGCATTTTATTTGGAAATACTTGACAAACACAATCTGTAACATTAATGTAATTTAAAATTTTTGTGGTAAATGTGTCTTTACATTACAATGTTTATTACATGAACATGAAGAAAAGCAAAGGATGTAACTTTTGCTGAACGACTCTACATTTTAAACTCATTTTCAACTCATTTTCCGTCAATACAAAGGTAATAAACAGTAAGAATCAAGAGTAAATAGGTGTAATTTGATTGTGAAATGTCTAAATATAATCATATGAAAATTGCTTGCTTGAATGCATTGATCTGTAATAAAGTCACACCGTTAAAGTCCCACTCCACTGGGTGTTTTTGTTTATTGTTACTCTTGTATGTTCGACCTTTGCTGTGCAGAGGGATTTATGTGCACAGTTTGACACAAACAAGGATGTTTTCAAATTCATCTGCTAAAGGTGCTGAAAGTTTCTGTGCTCACATAAAATCTGAGAGTGAGGTGTATAGTTTGGAAATCAATCCTGGACCAGAAGCATTGTGTAAACATTGACAATGTGTCAACAAGTGACGTAGGAGACATTTTGGGTCGAGCAGTTTCACTTTTGAAATGAGAAATATTTGCATATTCATAGATTCTGGATCTTTTAACGAGGGAGGAGGCGTAGATGTTATTTCATGGGTTTATGGTACAGGTACTTGAATGTTCTTTAATGGAAAACCCACTTCAGACACATTTATTATTCCCAAAGTATTAGTTTAGCAAGAGAGCATTTTCTATATATCTTTCTGAGGCAATTTGTGGTTTTTACACTTCAGTTTTTGTACAGATTAAACAAACAAGATAAAATATGTTTATTAGTGACTTTTAAAGTACACTGTTACATTCTGACAGAGCTACGCTAGCTGTTTCCCCCTGTTTCCAGTCTTTGTGCTAAGCTAAACTAGCTTCATATTTACCATATGAACATAAGAGTGGTATTGATTTTTGCTTATTGCTTATTCTTAGTAGATTTTCTGGAAAAAGGCTATATGTATGTTTGTTTGTTGCAATAATTAAAAGGGAAATGGAGAAAATGCTTTGTTTGCATATTTAGTTGTGACTTGTTATAGCTGAATGGTTCTAGTAGCTTCTCAGGCTCCTAAATATTATTCGCAGAAACAAAGAAACCACGTTCAGCAGCAGAGAAACCTACAAATAACCCTTTAAAAGAAAATTTGGTTGATTTTTTTTTTTTGTTTGATGCTTTTTTATTGTCAACATTTAATTTTATCATGTTTACATACAGAATAAATCGTACTGTCTAAAAAAAAACACATAATTAATTTGTTCATTATTGACAACTTGATGAAAAGTCAGTTAATGACAAATGGAACAGCTTTAGTAAACAAAAGCACTTTCCACTGTTGACTTCTACGGCTGCTTTTGGTGTGTTTAGATGATGTTAAGTGTTACAGCTTGGTTGCATTTGGATATGGACGACTTGCTGTGTTTGTGGAGGTTGAATTTCTGAAAACACAGAGGACAGATGAGCGATATCAGGGAGTAAACGGTGAAATGTAAGAGACACTTGTCTAATGTGATGATGAACATGTCTGCCTCAGTTACCTGTTGTTCTCAGCCTCATCGGCCGTCTCAGGAAGCTCTTTTCTCCTGGTCTCGGGAAGCAGGAAGCCGAGAGCTCCGCTGACCAGTGTGAGGCTGCTGAACACTGTGATGGGTATGACCCAGTGGTACATGGCCAAGATGTTTAACAGTGGAGCCAGTAATCCACCTGTTCTTCCTGAGATGGCTCCTAAAGCTGTGGCTGTTTGTCTGGAAGAGCGTGAAGGTCAGATGGGTCAAAAAGCACAATTGCTAAATTCTGTGTAGGTTTAAATACACACTGGAGAAATATACTATATATATATACACTACCTGACAGATGTTGGGGTCAATTCCTGCATAAAGACACTACATACAGAACCAGCCCAGATCAAGAAAAAACGACTGGCAGCAGCTAAAGATGTAACAGCAACAGCATATCCTGAAATAAAAAAGATAAAACTTGAGACACGGACAAACAGGATTAAAACATGAAACTGTCATTTGGCTACTAAATGGTTCGACCTTGGGGAACGGCTAAGATGAGTACGCAAGAGAGTCCTCCAGCCAGTAGTGTTGCTATGAATAATACTCTTCTCCCAAAAACCTCCAACAGCCACATGGAAAATAGATTAGCTGGTATTTCAATGGCACCAAACAGGAGCTGTGTCACGAAGATGCTCAAGCCGAAGTTTCCCATGTTCAAGTAAAGGCAGTAGAGGGCAAGGTTCAACGAAAACCTTAAAAACAGGAAGAACATAGAGAGTGTCCTGCATTATATTATATAACATCTATAACAATACACAGCGTTTATTGGAGTTGCTTCACTGTCATAGATTTTGTGATTGGTCATTTCATCGGCAGCATCGATTTACCACCAAACTAACCTTCAGGAGTTGTTTCAACATTAAGTCAGCGTTTAAGTGCAATGAAGATATTATAGGAATGTCTGCCGCCATAAAATGACGATAAATGACGGGTTATAATAATATACTATAATACACATTCTTTGATTAACTTAGGAGAGACTTTTGGAAATCGTAGCTCACCACGCAAAAGCCACAGTGAAGAAGTATCTGGTCAGAAGAGATGATCTGAATATAATTTTTATGCCTCCTGTGTTCAAAGTGTCTTTCACTGCAATCTGTGGCAGAAATATTATTAACATAACACTACAAACATCCTGTACGATTTCTGATCTCATGTAATTCATATTTCCCTAAAAACTGAAAACGTAACCTCAGAGCAACAGTAATAGATCTTTTCAGTATTAGTTATTTGTTTTGAAGACAACAGAAGAATCGACAGGTCAAAACTATGTTAATAGAATAGACAAATAAATTAATAAATGGACAATTACTAAATACTAAATTTAATTTAATAAGAAGAATAAATATGAAATGAAAGCAATGAAATAATTATCCAAATAAAAATTCTATTCTATTAGATTTCATGAAGTGTCTATTTACAGGCTGGATTTTTTATTCATCACCGTCTGCTGTTTTTTCTCCTGCAAAGGTATTTTTTATTTATTTCTTTCATGGCTGGATGACACCTCTTCTGTTGAGGAACTCTCCAGAAACACTGGAGATGCCTCTGTTCACCATGTCACTGCAAAACAGTGCACGCAACCATAGTGCAATAAACACAAGCAAGACATGAAAGTGGCCTTATAGTGCTATGGGTCTGTATTTTTTTTTTTTTTTCTGAATGTAAAAGCAAATGTCATAAACACATCATGAAATAAACAAAAGAAGCTTTTAAAGGGAAATTAAATTTTTAAAAAAAAACTTAGTGAGATAAATAAAATAAAGCAGCCTGCACACAGACACGAACTTTAAGAGGAGAGGATGAATGTTAGATTTCACCAGGGATTTCATTTGTTTTCTGTTATTATCCTGCACATGTGTCATCGACAACCTGGTGGAAAGGTGATAATTAAAATGCTGTATGTGGCAGTTTAAGTTTCAGTACCTTTTCCAGCAGAGAGTCTGGAACACTACGTTTGTTGATGGCTGCCGCTTTGACAATCAGCTGTTTAGCCTCTTCTGTCCTTCCTCTGTTTAACAACCACCTGGCTGACTCTGGAATAAACCTGATAGGAACAAGGAAGGTGACAGTTCGAACAGTCTACAATGTACAAATACAACAAACGACAGGCAATACACACCATATGTAGATAACTACCACTCCGAGCGGAGCAGCTGTGATTAGTTGAGCCAGCCTCCAGTCTCTGATCGCGTAGATCATCCCAGCGAGGACGCACTGCCCGAGTGCACCAAACAGCTGAGTCACACACACTCCCCATGATCTTTTGGACATCCCGATCCACTCTGTAGCTGCAGTGAGAAAAATATAATATTTGTCATTTTTGGCTGGATCGGCCACAGTCCAGTCCAGAGTGAGTGAGTGAGTGAGTGAGTGATAAAGTTAAACCATTGATCAGCTGAGTGTTAGACTTTCCTCACTGGCAATTTCTCTTTGGAAATGATTTTTTTGCGAACATTTTCTGTTACGTCATGTGGGGCAGATCCACAACAGTTTTAATTTTCTGACCTATTTAGCAGCTTAGCAGACCTAGCAACTACTCTGGCGACTTTATGAAGAAATCTTGGCTGGTTTCCATAGAGGACAGTTGGCATTATTTCCCTGCAAGCGAGAGGCCCACCTCTCCCTGTGTGTACTCTGTTCAGTGACAGGCGGAGCAGCAGTTTGTTACCCAGATAGAAGCTGTGAGCTGTTCGATGCGGACGCTTTACGCTTGTCTTTAATCAGTTCTCCTGCCTTTGAAAATCCCAAAGCATCTGATTTATAAACTGTTTACTAAGTCTGGTATATACTGCTGCTGCTCATGAAGCTTCACACACAGTGATGACGGTTGTGATAACAGATTTACCACTCATGTTTTAATATCATTTTTTAAAAAGTGTCCTTGATTTCAGACATAAAAGATTTCTCATTTTTAGGTTGCAACTATCAATTTCGCTGAAAACTGAACATGAGTGGAAAAATGTTATTGATATTTTCATGTTTTAAATAAATCAAATTGGACTGTTCAATTGAGAGAAAATTAGTAATTCATTGAGAAAATAATTGTCAGATTAACCTATTATTAAAACAGTCATTAGATGCAACTTTATCCTAAACCTGTATAAACTCAGTAAACATACACAGTATTATACAGTTGACTCGATATCCTCCAGCCCCGAATCCGGACGAGAACTGCAGTACTAGATATAAGTAGATATTGGGGCATAGTGCTGTTGACACAGTGAATATGAACATTATAACCAGTGGAATTTGAGTCGCTCGTTTGCGTCCAAACCTGCAAGAGAAAGAGAGGACACGAAATGAACAGGCAGTAAAAACCAAGAGCAGCTTCCATTATGCTAAGCACACTCAATTTAAAATAGCTGCTGGTTGTGTGAGTGCTCAGTGCAGATGGACAGGACACTTGCTTTATGTGCACAATATCAACTCAATTCAGCACAACAGCCAGTGTAACAATGCTGCATTTGTGTTTATGCAGTGTAGTATTCATTATGTTGTGGGGACTTGTGTCTGGGAATCAAAGAGCAAACGGCCACAAGGTTCACAGTTATTTTAGAATTAATGCTAAAATACAAGAGAGAATAGTTTGTCAGAATGGGACATATACAATTGATGAACATGTTTTGTTTGTTTGTTTAATCTGTACAAGAGCCAAAGTATAAGAAGACAAGAGGTGTTACAGAGGGGTTGTATTAAGGACCCAGGAGCAGCAGTTATAAAATCAGGATTTTAGCAGCAGCTTGGAAATGACTGCTGGTTAACATGTAATCTCAATGAGCCAAACAGAGACAGAAAAACATGATAATGACAACAGCTTTAGTGTGAATTTGACTGTAATAATACTGTATATGTGAGCATATCTAGTTTTGTTTTTCTAAATTAGAACTTTGAAAAATATATCAAACTACAAATATTACTATTTATATAGTGGAGATGTGTGTGGTTATATTTTTCATCATCAGACTAAAAATACAGTAACCGCATGAAATAAACTTACGATTCAGCAAAAGGTCCAAAGGTTAAAGAACCAATAAGAATCCCGGCCAAGAACACAGTTTGTGCCACTTCCACCAGGTTAGCCTTGTCACAGACGAGATCAAACTGTCAAAACAAAAAGTAGAATTGTTTAATGAAGTAGTTTCATGAAGGTGAACGACGACGTGTCCACGCTCATCACATCACTTACATCAGTGACTATGGTGGCCTCATACAGAGTGTTGTAGTACAGCCATCCACTCTGGCAGCCTGTGGTCTCATTGAGTCCGTACTCCCTGATGGAGCCGATGTCCCGGTCCACAGGGACAAACATCCGACACCTGCTGAAGGTCCCGTCCTCCTCCCGGGGCAGAGTCAGGTTCAGCTGCTCGTCTGTGGTCAGGTTAGGATCAGCTCTGAGGATCCAGTCCGTGTTACAGTGTCGCTCTGGATCTGACTCGATAAAAATAAAGCTTGCAAACATAAAAGACAAGAATAGATTCGGAAAGCAAAGTGCGATCAGAGTGAGCTTCTGAAATAATCCAAACTCTCCGATGTTCCTAAGGATCTCTCCGAAGTCAGCCATGTTGATGTCAGTTGTCTTACTTTGTGTTAGTTTGAAAAGACTGGAACCACAGGTTTGAACAATAATCATTAATGTTTAACCTTACTATAAAATCTTCAAGCACACAGGTGCATGATTTTATTTAACTGGGTTACATCTGAAGTGCAGTAAAACTTTATTATTCTCTGAAGAATCAGCTGCTGTTTTTTTATTCTCACCTGAGTTGAACTTCAGGGCGTCTTGACATCTTGACTCTGTGCCGGTATATCTATATAAGAAAGCTCATTCATGTGGTTATCACTATGTGTACGTCCATTCACATACACAGCACAGATCCAAATTTCAGTTGCTTACAAGGACACTTTGCTATGTTTAGGCTGCAGGATATCCATTTCACCAGCAGACATTAACCTGTGAGCACGGTACACATTTACAATCCAATTAAAATCAATACAACCGCTGTGTAACAAATCCTACTTTTATGATCCTTATAATCTTCATTTGTTGGTAACACAGAGAGAGGTGTTCATCGCACATGTTTATTGTGAGTCACATAGACGTTTGGCAGTTTGAGGCTGTTCATGTGTTTATCACGGCCACAGCCTGAGTTGCACCGTGAGTCATCGGCATTAAGTCATTGGCTTTAGGTAAAACACTTTGCAACGACAACTATAAACACTCGTAAATCTCCCATAAAGGCACTAGACAGTTCACCGCCACTGCCCCAAAAACCCCCTGACGACGTGTGGTTACAGGAGATGTTCTCTTGGTTCTGTATTAACATGTTACTTCTGTTTGATGTTACATATTTACATGTTGCCAATTACTCAAATTACGAGATGAACTTGCTTCAGATACGTCGCCTAATTCACCAGTGAAATGCAGCTCCAAGCAGAGACTGTTTTGCTTCTTACATCAGAGAAATGTAAAAAACAGTATGTTTTGAACAGTTTTTATTGTGAACTTTGACACTCAAACGTCAGTGGAAAAAAAGATCTCCAAAAATAGTAAACAGTTAATAATTTATTTAACACAACTATATTAGTTCAAGGTAAAAAGTAAGCATGAGATGACATTACCTCAAATATTTAGGCTGAAACAACAAAAGATGTTAGATTGCACTTTGGTGTATGACGCAAACAGGTGAAAGAGCCTCATCTGGGACTTTGAATTTGTATAAATGACGTGTATGCACAAAAATCATATCCCGCACGAAAACTGGTATTTGTGAAAACAGCATGGTGAGAATGCACAACCGCTGCAAAGACAAACTGACCGACCGACCGAACAGTGGAGGCATCGAAATCAGTGGTTAAATCGTTAGTTAATTTGATCAATCTGTCACTGTTTTACAGCGTTGTGAGTGAGCCTTGTTGGCGTGGAGTCGCTAGTGTCCCAGTAAGCCATGACTATATGACAGAGAGCCAGCGTGCACAGTACCAGGACTCTTAAACTGAAGCAGCTAAAAGCAATTCAGCAATTATTACTTTTAATATTCAATATGTCTTAAAGCTATTAAATACTTTTGTTGGTTGAGACTGTTCATCTCTTGGGTATTTAAGAAGTTTGTCCAGACGGTGGCACAAGAGGTAAAGACATGGAGTCACTAAAATTAAATGGGTTTTTTACCTTGTGGGTTTGAATGTGCTCAGTATCTTCCAGAGCTATCAGCTCATTAGATTTGGAGATACCTTTGTGTTTGTAAAGCTCACATGGCTGGAGTGTGGCACAACAAGAAAACGACTGAAGTGTCCTAAATTAAATGAATGAAAATCTTAAGTAAATTTCATGTCAGCCTTCTAATTATAATTATAATTCAATATTTCTTGCATGACTACATATCTCATGTGGAACTGGGAACACCTCAGGGTCCCCGAGGAGGAACTGCAAAGCGTCGCTGGGGAGAGGGATGTCTGGACTACCTTGCTTAACCTACTGCTACCACAGGCTGCACTCAGGTAAACAACAGAAAATGGATGGATGGATGGATGGATGGATGGATGGATGGATGGATGGATGGATGGAGGGATGGATGGATGGATGATGGATGGATGGATGGTCTTGTGTACGAATTGAAATTATTATCTGAATTTATCATCTGAGGTCAATGAATATCAACAGCAAATTACATACAAAAGTAGTGGCAGTAGCTGTTTGACTATGGACCAAAGTGGAAGGACAGAGCAACAACACACAGTAAAGTAAGTAACAGATATATTCAGACTACAGTTTGGTTGATTTGTTTTGTGTAGGTATACTTGATGCACTTTGGGTCTTCATGGCCGCCTTATTTCTGTGGAAGAAAGGAAAACAAAGAAGTGTCATTTTGTGTGTAATGTGTAATCTTTGTTAAAACACCTTTTCTGCATTATACTTTGAAGACTTTTGTCAACAAAACTACAGAAACAGAATTAGTGCTGTTTGGCAGTCCTTCTTGATCCCAAGAAAAAGAGGTTATTTGATCCATTAAAATTCAACTCATCTCGCTTACCTGTTGCCCTCCGCCTCATCGGTTGAATCAGGAAGCTCTTTTCTCCTGGTCTCAGGAAGCAGGAAGCCAAGCGCTCCACTGACCAGCGTAAGACTGCTGAAGACTATGGTGGGTATGGACCAGTGGTATACGGTCAACATGTTGAGCAACGGAGACAGCAAGCCACCAGCTCTGCTTGCAATGGAGCCCAAACCAGAAGCTGTTTGTCTGAAACAGGAGCGAACAGATCTCAGACGTGCTTGTTACCTTGAAGTATTTCTTGTTTGTCTTTGAATCATAACACAGATGAGTGTTAGGAACACACATAAACCAACATTATGGCTGATGTAATTTAAACAAGACTACATATGCTACACTATTAACCATATTCATTACAGTGAGATGGAAAGCTTACCTGAAAGATGTTGGAAACAGCTCCTGAACGTACACGTTGCAGATGGATCCTGCCCAATTGGTGAAAAAACGTCCAGCAGTTGCTAATGTAGTAACAGCAATAGCATTACCTTAAACAGAATAATAGAGCGTTAGGAAAAATTAAAAACCAGACTGTAGAACAAAAGTATGAGCTAAATGCTAACGGCAGCAAGCTAACATGTACACACGTTTAGTCACGCTTATCATGTTCATCCTCCTAGTTTAGCGTGTTAGCATGCTAACATTGGCTAATTAGCACTAAACACAAAGTGCAGATGATGGGAATGTGATTAGTTTTGCAGATATTTGGTCATAAACCAAAATATCTATTTATATGACAGGTCACGGGGTCGCATGAGTTACCAATAATAAGTTAAGTGGATTCTGATTCTGATGCTAAAGGTGTCAGTACACTTTAAGTGCCTGTGGGATTATCAAACAGTAGTTACCAACAATTTATTTAACTTTCCAAAAAGAAAGTTACATAAAGAAAATATGCAGGGTTTCAACTTTGCTCTAAAACTCTTTGTTCAGTTCAGACAAAGTCAATAGCATACATCGTCTGGGAACCATGGATGTCTGTACCAAATTTTGTGCCAATGCTTGTAGATGTTTAGATATTTCTAATAATTAACTGAAAGCTCTGACCTGATTACAGCACTAGTCAAGAAGTCAAGGAATCACCAAAGTTATTAGGATGCATCCTCTGGGGATCTTGAATGTCTGTACTTATTTCTTATGGCAATCCATCTATTAGCTGCAGAGATATTTCCCCTTGGACCAAAGAGGTGGGCAGACCGAATGACCAACTGACATTACCATTCCTAAACCCCCGTCATTCGTGTTTCTAAAACTGTACAAACATCATCTGTAAGAGTACGTCTGAAATGCTTTTACTTTGAGGAACAGCCAGGATTAAGATGCACAAGAATCCTCCGATCAGAAGTGTTGACATAAGTGACACTTTTCTCCCCAGTGCTTCCAGCAGCCAGATGCAAAGTATATGAGCTGGTAGTTCAGTCAGACCGAACATGGCCTGTGTCAGGAAGATGTCCAAGCCAAAGTTTCCCACATTGAATGAAAGGCAGTAGTAGGTAACGTTCAGTGAGAACCTGAGGAAAACAAGAATAGGTCTCACAGAGAGAAAGAACTGGATGTTAAATACAAATTGTAGAGTTATTTATATTGTAAAATGTAACTTACCATCCCAATATTAAGGTAAAGAAATACTTCCTAAGCACAGGTGATTGGATAAGAATTATTATGCCTCCTTTTTTCTCATTTTCTCTCACAACAATCTGTAATGCACAGGAGGTGGACACAACATCATGCTAACATTTGCTTATGTTAGCAAATCATGTAATCCAACAGCCTTGCAAAAGGTATTAAGTGTTTGTTCACACTGTCAGAGAGGTGATGAACACTGTTGTATTATTAAAGACGTACATGTATGTGTCATCCATAAATAACTTGCTGTAATCCAGTACAGTCCAATAAACTGTAGTACAATTACAAGCCAATACAATTTTTGCCTTAAAAGTTATAGGTAGTAGCATGTCTAGCATATTGTCTTGGTTTTCATTACGCAGTAGTGGTGTTCATTATGTTTTATTTTTATGAAAGAGTTTTTTCACCATAAATATAAACTGCATGTTCGCTGTTATCAGTCATACTTGATATAATGGCAACAAAAAAAAAAAACAGTTTCATGTGAAGGGTCAGTACCTTTTCCAGCAGAGAGTCTGGGACAGTGCGTTTGTTGATGGCCGCCACTTTGGTAATCAGCTGTTTAGCCTCTTCTATCCTTCCTCTGTCCAACAACCACCTGGCTGACTCTGGAATAAACCTGATAGGAACAAGGACAGTGCCACCTATAAATAAATGTATGTGTAATTTACTTTTGAAACACTAGTAATAAAAAGAGCTAATACACACCATATGTAAATAGCAATCACGGCGAGTGGAGCTGCTGTGATAAGTTGAGCCAGTCTCCAGTCCCTGATGAAGTAGATCATAGCAGCGAGGAGACACTGTCCGACTGCGCCGAACAGCTGAGTCACACATGCTCCCCATGATCGTCTGGCCACCCCGATCCACTCAGTGGCTTAAAACAGGAAATCAACAACTTTAAGTACCGTTTGGAGTAATATGGAGCCCCAAACTAATGTTGTAAAAAGTTATCAGAAAAATAAAAAAAAAATAACTGAACACAGCTTAAAAATGAATTGTTGTATTGTTTTATTATTTTTCTAATAAGTTAAGGAGAAAAAGACAAGAAACCTGTACTTGAAGAGGAACATAATGTTATGAGGATAGAAGTGGGGCGTCTGTGAACCTAGCTAGCTAAATTTATTACCGTTCAATTGTTAGCTAAAATGCTCTAGCTACTGTTACATGAGTTTATACAGTGATTCTCCAGCAGTGCAGTATTTAAATAGTTAAAATTATCATTATTATGTACCGGCTGGTGTAGTTTTATGATGAGAGTTATCTTTAAGTGTGTAGCTAAACGAAAAGGTGGATGCTCAGTGTGTTTAGCTACTCATGTTCTCAGCTAAGCTAGCTTGAAACGGTCCTCTGAATAACTCCCCTCATGAGGAGAATCCACTACATGGGGAAAACAGGGAATAGATTAACAACAAAAAAGTAAAACATTATTAGAAAAGTAAAGTTTTAATTAATTTTATCAACTGACTACACCTAGATAACACTGAGGCAGTCATACAGCAGTCCAACAATAAATCCTATCATCATGAAGGTTATAATGTTCAGTGTTTGTCAAAACTGTTTTAGAGAGGCGTTAATTCAACATTATGGTCATTCAGGAGGATGAGGTTTGTAGTGCTATTGAATTGTATTGAGTTGTATTGAGTTATACCGGGAGGTGTTTCTAATATTTTGTCTACTCTCATTGATATAAACATGGTGGGCAAAATATTAAAAACACATCTCAGTATAACCTCCCAAAGTACCATAACATTAATCAGCACTTTAAAACTGAACACCGACCTTCGTGAAGGTAGAATTTATTGGAAGGTGATTGTATTATGCTGCATTAATTTTATCTAGGTGTACCTAATAAACTGGTAACTGTGTGTATTTTACTACTTTGGGTCTGCATAAAGAATACCTCTGCTGAAAGTAAGAATGTATAAAAGAAAAGAATCAAATAATTGGCTCATCAACAACTGACCAAATCCCTGTGTTTACAAATGTAAGATGATGAGTATTCTGTACCCAATATAACGCCGTTAAGTCGATAACCTCCGTAGCCGATTCCCACCATGAACTGGGACGCCAAATATAAGTAGAAGTTGGGACATAATCCAGTTGTTATGGTAAATATGAGCATGACAACGACTGGAATCTGAGCTGCTCGTTTACGACCAAACCTGAAAAAGATAAAACAAAATATGTGATATAAGTTTCTCTGTTTTGTGAGTGACTTTCACTTAACATGCATATTTTTTTATTTTTTTTACAATTTAATACACACTTACGATTCAGCAAAGGGTCCAAATAAGAGACAGCCAACAAGAATGCCAGCCATCAGCACTGCTTGTGCCACTTCCAACAAATTAGCCTGGTCACACACTAGATCAAACTGTAGAAAAATTAAACAAAATTGTCAACAAGGGAGAATATAATTAAGATAATATAATATTTGTATGATAAATTAACATGAGGAAGACCTATCACTTACATCAGTGACTATGGTGGCCTCATACAGTGTGTTGTAGTACAGCCATCCACTCTGGCAGCCTGTGGTCTCATTGAGTCCGTACTCCCTGATGGAGCCGATGTCCCGGTCCACAGGGACAAACATCCGACACCTGCTGAAGGTCCCGTCCTCCTCCCGGGGCAGAGTCAGGTTCAGCTGCTCGTCTGTGGTCAGGTTAGGATCAGCTCTGAGGATCCAGTCCGTGTTACAGTGTCGCTCTGGATCTGACTGGATAAAAAATAGGCTGGCAAAGTGAAAAGGAAGAATAACATTTGGAAAGCAAAGAGCAAAAAGGGTGATCTTCTGAAATAATCCAAAGTCTCCGATGTTCCGGAGGATCTCTCCAAAATCAGCCATGTTCAGGGAGCCGACTTTCAGTTTAGAGATGCTGCTGGGTGATGACCTTTAAACAATGCCCATTAATGTTTAAACCCCGGACTGTACCGTTCCGGAAGGATGAGACAGCATTTTAAGTGTAATTGCTTTTTTGCAGAAAGAACTAGTCTTATGATTATTTAACCAGAAAAGTCACTGTTGTACCTTTCTCTGTGTAACACCTTCACAGCCTCTTCGTGCTTTGGCTTGATGCCCAGACAGATAAACTTATCTCAGTATTTACTGATCAACAGCTTTCACCAACTTCTCTTTTTGCAAAATGGTCATATTACACAACAACAACAATAACAGTGTGCTGTTTAACTGACACTGTAGTACAACATGTCTTATCTTCCACAGAAAGAACTGTTGATCTTTTACCAACTTTTACAATATGCTGACTTTTTGCCTGTACTCTTACATGAAAGGTGAGCCTGTTACACAATATGGAGCCATGGTAACTGTAGTGACGCAGTTCACAGAGATTAACTGTTTGCTGTAAAGGATATTAATTCAATTTTGTCAGATTCAAGTCAGCAGAAGACTTCACAAACTGCTGCCTTGACCCTGACACAGCGTAACTTGTCTGGCCACAAGCTGAAATGCTTGGTTGATCTTACAGTGAGGTTATTTATACCACATGTGCAGCTGGAGTTTTGACCTCTTTGACCCATTTTCTATGCACCTTGGCAGTGAAAACAACAAACTAATTTCCATTCCTCATTCCCCCCATGTCAGGTTCACCTGATGATTACCGCCACGATATGGTCCGATGTCTGTTAAATGCGAAACCCAACAGCACTGTTAGCTCACATGTAAATTTGTAACTTCCACAGTAAGTGGAAAGTCAAGGCCAGACAGACTGACACTTAGCCAATCATAAAGCAATACCTGCTTGTTTTCAGACCGATAAGAAGTTGTTTAGGTGCAACTGGAGTTCACAAATCATACTTTTAGAAATGTCTTTTGCATGCGAGCTTGTCAAATGCAGATGTTTATGGTTGAATTTTGAATTATTTATTTAGTCTACATGTGGTTTGGTTTGGCGTCATATTTTTGTTTCTAGATGTAGATAATTGACGAAAACTGAACTGATGAGATGATGGTGCAACATCCTCTTGTACACTCTCCTCACAGCTGAAAACATCCACATTTCCAGACTAGTTTGTGAATTTCAGCTCGTGCATTCGTCCTCCACTATCATTATTTTGCTCTGACGCTGTTGCTATGCATGCTCAACTTGTCTGGGTCCCTCATTACCTCCTGCAAAGCCAACAACTGTCATTTTTTAATAAGACTCACTTGTGCTGAGTCTGGCTTCGTAGGGTGTAAATCCTCACTGCTGTTTGCCTAATATACCATGTCTCATGTATTCCTTCTCGGGACCAGTACATGGTGCTGGATGAATCATCCCTAATGCATTGAAGAGTTTACTGCTGAGCTGAGCTGACTGCGTTATCAGTTCAAGAGATTACACTTTCTCACTAACAAGCTAGAACTACATTCATTCTCTATTAGTATTTTATTTTTCCAACAGAGCAGCACTGACAGCAGGAAAGACAGACCATAAGTCTGATGCAAACACGCTGAGTCACTGGGCATTATCAAAAGGCAGAACACAGTCCAAATACAAACATTCTGCTAAAAAATATACAGCTACTGTTACACACAACAAAGACATGTATAAATACTGTACGGCCACGAGCAGGACTGACTGTGGTCCAAGCAAACTGGGAGCATTTGGATGCTTGTTTTTTATTCAGTAGCTAATGAAATGTGGTTTTCATTACATTTACGGTACATTACATTTTCTAAGGCCCATTTAGTTTTGACACACAGGCTAAATAATAAGATAATTTCATTTTACAGCATTGGTACTTAGTTTAAATGTATTTGTTTCGTGCAATTTCATGCAAATTAGAGATTGGAGATTTGGCATTGGAAAGCGGTGATTTAGATTTGTAGCACTGACTTGAGTAACTGCCGATTTTTTAATATATCAATAGCAAAAGCTGGCTGCGGGAATGTGACTGTCGCAGCAGTTTGGATTACCTTTCACCAGTCGCTCAGGAGGCCGAGTCTATATCAGGAGGCTAACCCCCCAGATCCACGGATCACGGATCTACTACAGATAATTCACACTCAGTTTCAGAAGAATCTGACAAACCGTCACGGATGAGTTGATGAATTATAAAAGTGGAGACACAAGCTTAAACGTAAACATCTTTGTTGCAGCACCACATTGAGACCGTTTGGTCCAATGTTTTGTACATTCCCTCTTCATGACATCATAAACCTGCATACCAGTTTTCATGTTGATTGGACATTCATGGTGGGAATTTAAAGCTGCTGAATTGAGTTACGAAAGCAATACTTTGAGGAAAGTTAGAAAAAGGTTACTATGAGTCACTGTGCCAAATGTGAACTTTTGTCATTGTCTATGGAAAACAAGCAAACTTCAATTATATTATATTATATTGTATGAAACATATTGGATGTTTCATAAAAATCAGACAATGCATTGGTGAGACATCTACTACACTTAGACATTTTGATGAATATTGATTGGCTTGTAAAATCAGAACGTATTGAAAATTCTTGTGTATATGATCTTGGTTAAGTTTTGTAATGATTGGTTCGGTGCTTGCTGACGAGGTTTTAAGGAAAATGGATGAATTTTTACATTTTACAGTATATTTTTAGAGCAGAAGACCAGTGGAGCAAAGGCACAGATGAATGGAGATATTGACATGAAGAAAGAATTTGGACCCTCAGCCACACCACCTGGGTACAGCACCTCATGGTTTGGGTTTCGTGTTTCTAGAGCTTAAAAAAACACTAAAAAAAAAATAATCAGAACTAAAACAAAAGGTTTCAGTCTGCCAACTAGAGTTTGGTGCATTTCCTGCCCTTGTTGTCGGTCATGTTGGAGTCACTCCTCTTGGTGGTAATTTTCCTATAATGAAATGGAATATTTAGATTACATAATTGACTTGGAATTGGCAACTGACCATTACCTTTTTGACTTTATTATATATAGTTTTATCTTAATTACTCCTAGTTTCAATAAAACTGGAAGACCACCCCAAAATGCTGATTACCATAAAACCTACAATAAGCATAAAGAATAGTGGTTGGACTCCTGAACTCATGGCTATTGTTTGTTTCCAGACAGGCTCAATGGCTAACATACCTCCTTTACCATTACAAAAGATTCAGTTAATCTAAAATAAATAATGATGAACTTAAATTAATATTTTTTACAATGTATTTATTTCCATTTCCACAAATGTAAACTGAAGTTTGATGCTTTTCATTGTTTTAGATTTTTAAGACTAAACAAAGACAGTGTTGTTATTTTTTCTCCTATTTATCGTGTGTATATTTGTTAACAGGTGACCAAGTGCTGCATACAATCGCCTTTGCAGGGTTAAATAAAGTTATACTGAAAGAAGGTTAATCAAATTTCCATTATATGTAACAGACAATACAGCTTTAGTGTCTCAGTTAATGTGTGTGACTTCTAGTGTTGTGCAAAGCAGTTGTTTCCAGTGTCCCGTAGCACTAGAATCAGTTCATTAAAAAGATTTGTTCAAAATGGGGATGGATGTCCCTGATGGTTGGCCTGTAACTGACCCCAAATAAAAGCAAATGTTGCCACAATTCTTCAGTAAATCACCACAGTAATTTTAGTCTTTTCCATCCAGTTTGCTTACCTGCTGCCCTTGACCTCATCGATTGAATCAGGAAGCTCTTTTCTGCTGGTCTCTGGAAGGAGGAGGACAAGAGCTCCACTGACCACCGCAAGGCTGCTGAAGACTATGATGGGTATGGACTGGTGGTATATGGCCAACGTGTTGACCAACGGAGACAGCAACCCTGCTACTCTGAACGCTATGGACCCCAAGCCAACGGCCGTTTGCCTGAAGGAGTGGAACAAGGAGTTAATTTTCAAATATATAAAGTGTATATGTTCTATATAATCTATAATTATATATTTTGTATACTTTGATTATGCGTACCTGAGAGAAGTGGGAAACAGCTCCTGGATATAGACCATACATACTGAACCAGCCCAGTTCAAAAAGAACTTTCCTGTGGTTACAAGCGCCGTGATAACAACGGCGCTGTCTGAAATGTAGAATATGTTAAACCACCGACAGTCAAATGAATGTATCCTCATCTACTGAATGTGAAGGACATGTACTTCACCTTGAGGGAAAACCAGAGTCAAGAGGCAAAACAATCCTCCTGCCAGGAGGGTTGATATGAGGGATTTTTTTCTCCCCACCAGCTCCAGAGCCCAGATGCAGAGGAGATGAGCTGGAATCTCAGAGATCCCAAACAGGAACTGAACCAGGAAGATGCTCAGACCAAACTTACCCACATTCAAGATGAGGCAGAAGTAGCCTAGATTTAATGAAAACCTTAATACCACAGAACACAACAATTAAATAAATTAAAGTAAATAAAATTTAAAAATGCATTAAAAAATGTGCTTCACATACCAGGCAAAAGATATAATGACTAAATGTTTCATCAGGACTGTTGAGGTAAAAATTCTTTTGATTCCGCCTTTCTGGACTTTTCGTTCCTCAGTTACCTGAAAGGTAAATGTATTATTATTAAACGCATCAACACTACTACAAAACTATAGCTGCTAGCAATGGTTTTGACAGACCCCAGAGGATTGATATTACTGACTTTATTTATCCCCTTACTTTCCCTATTGCACCACCATGAGTTTGTGTTTTTAACTGATATATCTTGACTATTGGACGGATTGTTGTGATTGACTTGATATAGGTATTCATGATCCCCCTCAGGATTAAGTGAAATAATTTCAATCTATGACTTTTCATCTACATTAATCAGCAAACAAATACTGTTGTTTATGAGCTAATATCATGGATGTATAGGAACTGGATGCCAAACTCAAAGATGGCTGCCACTTGCTATAATGAAAATTGCTAGCATGGATCATAGTGCAAGAGCAAGTGGAGCAAGTGCTGTCACTGTAGCCAGCTCTCTTAATACATCCATGTCTAACATCTGCAAAACCGATGACATCCCCATTAGCCTCGGCTGTACTTTGTGTTTATGCTAATTAGCAAATATTAGCATGCTAAACTAAGATGAAGAACATAGTAAACATTGAACCTACTAAAAAGCCGGGGCTAGCTGTTTAGCGTGCTAACTTCAGTAGAAGAAAAGACGTGATAGAGACTAGAGTTAACATTGACGATGCTTTCCACTGCTGGAGACGGGTTGTTGGCGCGTAAAGGAATGAGGTTTGATGCCGAACCCACAATGTTTCCTCTAGACTGGTACACTCAGAGCTGGTAATGTTAACATCGGGTATGTGGCAATAGCAAAACTTACAAATGGCTCCATTTGAGTCTCATTTGATTAAATGTAATCCAAATTCTGGAAATCTGACTTGCCATGTTGAGCAGATTCTCTGGGAGTTTCTTTTTATTGATTGCTGCAACTCTTCGTATCAACTTCATAGCTTCTTCGTTTCTTCCGTTTCCCAGCAACCATCTTGCAGATTCTGGAATCCACCTTAAAAGATTACAAATTAAAAATGTCAAACTAACAAACTATTATTAGTTTCTAAAGAGTCTAAATCACAAACTGAGCCACCAATCAGGCAGATTACAACTTTCCTGAGCACACTGTAAGCAAACTGGTTTTGCATGATCTCATTATGTGAGGTAACACAAGAGCAATGAAGCCAGATAGACGTGGGTAAACAGGATTTGGCCCGTTAGGTATGACATGGGAGTGTGTCAATAACTGAACACAGCACTGTGTAAAAAGTATATACAACACTTACCATATGTACAGGATTACAAAGGCCTGTCCTCCTGATATCACATACTGTGCTGTTCTCCAGTCACGAACAGCATAGACCAGACCAGCCATGGCACACTGTCCAAGACCTCCAAACATCTGGCTCACACAGGAGGCAAAGGACCTTTTCTTGACCCCGATCCATTCGGTGGCTACACACAGAATTTAAACACCAAGTCACTGCAGAGCTAGGACGAGAAAAGTTTTTACAGGACAGGACAATTCCCTGCTTGCAATACAAAATCAGCAAAAAATAAAAAAATACATATAGTATATTACGAAGAAGTCATACCTAATACAGTAGAGTTCATTCTGTATCCTCCAAGTGCAGCTCCAACTATGAACTGTAACACTATGTAAACATAGAAATTTGGAGACACACCAGCAACTAAGGCGAACACCATCAGGAGGACAGCTGGTATCTGGGTGGTTCTCCTGCGGCCGTACCTGAGGTTGAGCGAGCGAGTGACCATTGAAGGTTTATGTTTCCCAACATTTTGCAAACAACCTCATATATCGTTTTCTAATCACTTACGTATCAGCTGATGGCCCAAAGATGAATGAACCAGCAAGTAAACCAGTCATGATGACCGTCTGCGCGACTGCAGTCATGTAAGAATTGTCGCAGACGAGATCAAACTGAAAAAAAACCCAATATGGCTGTCAGCACAGATGATACCAAAGAAATCAATCACAAATCATACATCATGCTTAACTTACATCAGTGACTATGGTGGCCTCATACAGAGTGTTGTAGTACAGCCATCCACTCTGGCAGCCTGTGGTCTCATTGAGTCCGTACTCCCTGATGGAGCCGATGTCCCGGTCCACAGGGACAAACATCCGACACCTGCTGAAGGTCCCGTCCTCCTCCCGGGGCAGAGTCAGGTTCAGCTGCTCGTCTGTGGTCAGGTTAGGATCAGCTCTGAGGATCCAGTCTGTGTTACAGTGTCGCTCTGGATCTGACTGGATAAAAAGAAAACTACAAAGGAAAACTGGCAGTAAGAAATGTGGGAAGGCTAACCCGAGAACGACCACCTTCTGGAATAAACCAAACTCTCCGATGGTGCCCAGGATCTCTCCAAAATCCGTCATTTTCACAGAGCAGACGATGTGTCAAACTAACTGGTAGACCTTAGTCTTATTGAGGCAGGGGTCATAGTCAAAATAAATGTTTAACCACTTCACTTTAGCCAGTAACTAAATGGGTGAGCACATTCAATTTAAACTGTGTTTGCTAAAGGTTAAAAAAAAAAAAGAACAGTGACATCTTAAACAAACATTGTCTGCCCTCATTGAATTCCATCATGTGACTTTATTCAGCTACTAAAAATCATTTTGCATGTGTTGACATTTTCCAACAATGTATATAATTTGTCAAGGAATCTCTTTTGTATTATTTATACAAATATTCCACTTCAAATTATGCATTTGTAGGTGTAGACATTTTATGATTAAGCATATTTAAAAATATATGTAATGATTTGTAAAAAAAAAAAAAAGTTTAAAAAAGAAAAATGTACTTGCCAAATCATCTGATTAAATTAACACTAATCATTCAGTGCTACCACAAAGAGGCAGAATTATGGTTTTCTGATGAGTAAAGGATGGAAGGGAAATAAATTTAGGAAATCTATGTGACAGCTCAAAGCCTCCGATAATCTTTTTTTTTTCCACCAAAATCACACACGTACACACACACTGGGGGAGAGGAGAGTTTAACCTCCATGGACAGGTTTCAGTGAGAAAAACCGAATATCATGACGTCAAAACACAGTGTGTGTGTGATTACAAGCAAAAAAAAAAAAAAATAGGCATGTTAACATATCAATAAGGTGCCAATTGAACAAATAATTTGTGCATGATTAGTGATGCTCTAACAAAAGGCCAACAGTGGAAAACACTACAAAACAAATTAAACTATGTGCTGAACATGATGAGTCTCGGTCTGTTTGCCTTAATCAATATTTACAAGTAAAATGTTCCTTTTATCCGACATGTACATTTAGACAGTCAATGAATCTACATCGTTACATACAAACCTGTTGGTGTGACAGTGCATGGAGTTGCCATCAAACGTACATTTACAACTTCTTTACATACACCATTTACATCAGTACCTGAACTAGGAGCCGTATCGCAGCTCTTCGTACGTGGTACAAAACAACCATACAGCTACACTGGGAGTGACGACAGTGATTCGTTGTTGAGTGTTTATAAAGAAAAGTGACTACAGTACTGTGTGTGAAAACAACATGACTAATGACAAAAAAAATAATAATAATCTAAAGTAATTTCTGGCTTCTGGAAAAGTTTAAATGGTTACTTCACCCAATATATGAAAAAGTTACCACTAGTGGTATCCAGCCATGCAGTCAGTTTTGATTTTATTTACTTTTATTCGCTGAGATTCCTGCAGCCCTTCATTATATAAGATACAGGGAGTTTTGTTCGTGGTGTTCAAGGAAACTTACATTTAAATAAGACTACAGCCACGCTAGCTGCTCTCAAACTGCTGTAACTAAATGCCAATGGCAGCATGCTGAGCTGCTCACAGTGGCAACACTAACATGCTAATGTTTAGTAGGTGTAACAGTGTTCATCATCTTAGTTTAGTCTTTCAGCATATTAATACTTGCTCATTCGCACTAAGCACAAAGTTCACCTGAGGCTGAGTTTCGCAAAGATGTTGTCACTAGGTTAGAAGTGACAGGGAGTCCTGCACCACATTCATGGCATGAAATATTTCACAAAAAATAAAAATCTCAACCTCATGGTGGCGCTACATCCGGGGATTATCATCCATAGAGCCGTGCTGCTAGCAGTAACACTCCTCTCCAAACAGTGTCTACTTTATTTTGAATAATCAACATAACACACTCATTTTTTTATATAAGGAACTACTTTTTTCCAAATTTCAGTGCATGCTAATATCCTCACTGTGACAACTTTAGGGTGTTGACTTCAGCAGGTTATATTCACCATATTTTTTTGTGTGTGTTTTAGCATTAGATAATTAGCACTAAACAGGTTACAGCTGAGGCTGATGGGAAAGTCATTAGTTTTGCAGAATTGGTCATTAATCAATGAAATGAACAAACTCAAATTTTGACCTGATTGTGGAGGAAGACGAGAAGACAGAATCACCAAAGTCAAGAGGATTCATCCTTCAGAGACACTGAATATATGTAGAAAATTTCATTATAAATCATCAGTTAGATTTGGAGTCACTTGAGGACCACAATGGTGACCACGCTGCCTGACTGGCAGCACCATAGCACAGAGCCATGATGCTAGCATGGCTAAAAACAAACTTTCATCTACCTCTATTTTATTGAGATACAGGCAGAAATCTCAGAGACTAATACCTCAAACCTTTCGACCAAAGCTATCTGCATGACTAAATGCCACTGAGGCAAGTTACAACATCGATTTTTGCAATATGGGTGAACTGCCCTTTAAAGTTTTATTTCACGTTGGTGGAACAGTCTCAGTTTTTGAGCGTGCACACCTCCACAGAAGTTCATCAGCAGTCAGCCTCTAACACAAGCTTGTCTCGGGGCTCAACCCTCATCGCCAGCATTCAGGATTCTTCCCAGCTGTTTTTATCAATAACTGTAAATGGGGTCAATTACATCTTAACGGGGACTATAAAAAAGCAATTACCTGTGTCCGTCTGTTGGTTTGTTAAGTTTGAATTTTATCGACATGCATGTAAAAATGAAAGTAAATCCTCACTGCAGGATCTTAAAGCTGCTCGTTTTGCTGGTTGACTCTTTATGAACTCCTTTTGAGGTACAAGCACAAAAAGCGGTTTTATTCAAGCCAAGAGAAATATTATTTGCAACTAGTGGTCACATATGGTGAAAAGAAAATAACTATTGCATAGTACAAGAATATTAGGAACGTGTCAATCTGTGTGTCATTAATACCTCAGGGAAACGCCATCTGACCAGATATTGTAACTACAGCTGGGGGACAGAGCCGTTACAGCTGATTCGTGTTTCGTTGAATAATTTCAGCAGTGCAGTCAGAGCATAAACACTGGTTATGCTTTAACAAAGCCACTGCACACTGATAGTGTGGAGGTGAGAATTCATCGCACTGTGTTAGGCTGCCTTATAGTTATCTGGTCATTAAAAACTAAACTACGCTGCAGTGAATTTATAAGATATTTGTATCAGTGTTGAGGGGGATTTTATTTTTTGTAGATTTAATAGATAGGCGTACAAAGAATACGCCAAATAATCACACAATCTTAATTTTTCACCAATCACACTGGTAAAATCTATATTTTGACGAACTAAGGCTGAATTTACACATTTCAATTTTAGTGTAGCATAAAGTGCCATGTAAAGGTGGCACGACTCTCTTGTGAGTTTTGTGGCACAGATGATTTTTTTTTTTTTTTTTTTTAAAAAGGAGAAAAAAAAAAGGCAATCACTTCCAGTACTGGCAGGAGATGGTTTGGATTGTGCTTATGTATGAAGAGGAAGAAAAACAAAGAAAAAGAAATTAGGAGTTCATATAGTTGATTGCATCTGTTCTCCCATTTACTGTATAAGCGCACTGTAAACGTTTCAAGTGTGATTCCTGTGATGAACTGAGCCTCCTCTCAATGTGGTCCTCATGCATCCTGCAGTAGTGTCACACTCCTGCCAGCTTCATGTCTCATCATCACCATCACCATCATCATCATCATCTTCTCCCTCCTCTCTTTGGCAGTAGTGGTTTCTTGGAATTGACTACAATGCAGCTGTGCAATACCATTAGTTTCTGTCCTTTGTTTCTGGCTCTGCTTGACTTAACTGATGCTGAGCTGAGCAAATCCAATGAGTTTAACGTCATCGGGGATTTCAGACTCCTCCACACCAGATGCCTGGAAGACAGGGAGCAAGAACAAATAAATACATCTATGATCGAACAAACCCGTAAAACATATTTTACACATCAGTGGACAGAATCCATTGCGTCTGTGTACTCACCAGTTTAAAGGTCAAGTTTTTGTTACTGTGAGGATCATCAACAATCTTTTGCAAATTGGCAGCAACTAGACAGAAGATACAAGGAAGTGAGAGGGCGACATCAGATGACTGACTAATGTGAGGAGAGAATCTAAGAGATTACAAGACTTTTCCCTCATGCCCAGTGTTGAAAACAGGAAATAACTGGTTCTGGAGCCACGTGCATATTACACACTCATAAACAGGAGGTATTTAGAGAATACATACCAGAGATTTTGCAAGCGTTATCACATTCACTACAAATCACATAGATTTAACAGCTTTTTAGTTTTTAGGTGTGAAAAAATAAATCTAGTGACAAAGCAAGAAGACAACACTGAGTTATCTCAATGCTACTGTATTTATCCCACCCTGCAGTGCTTTTTCTCCAACTTACCAATGACTAAGTCCCTCCCGTCCACCAGCCCGGCTGAAACCAACTCCTGAGAAACTCCGTCAGCTGAGTCTGAAGGGAGACGACGAGAGGAAAATCCAAAAATAAAGACATGAGACTGGAGTGTAATAGCACAAATGCGAATGAAGAAAAAGCTAGGTGGTCTTTCCTACCTCTGCCTTGCATGAACTCAAATCGGATGTCATTGAGTTCCTTCTTGGGATTCCTCAGTCTCAGGACGAGGCTGATGGGAACACTAGCATTGGCTGCAGCCGGATCCTGCAACAGCATCAGCAACAGTAAGCTGTAACCTGTTTATCAATTCTGGTTGTCGAGAACACATTCGCAATTGCCTGTGCTAACTAAGCATTCTCCATGTTTGTTTTCACCTGAGCAGTGGGTGCATGGGAGGGGCTCGCTGCGTGAGCGGGAGCCTGTGGTGGAGCCTCCTCTCCCGTCTGGCCCACGCTCGCGGGGCCCTCGTGTGCTGCACCAGGTGCTTGCAGATGTCCTGTGGAGCCGTCTGCTGGTGGGAAAAGCTGAGAGGCAACGAATTTGCAAATAAATCAGCAGGTGTTTTCAGTTTTACATGAATGAATATAACAAAAAGAAGTGGACACACATGAGACAGTCATGCAGATCGCTCTGACAACGCATTACAGTAAATCAAGATTTTCAGGTCATGTCCATCACAAATAGACTCACCTCCATATTCTGGGACCCGTCCTTCACCCTGG